TTAATATTTTTTATTTTAGGATCACTAAAAATAAAAAAATGTATTTAACTCAAAAGGTGATTTGTTTAGATAATATGATAAAAAAAATGAGTCTTAATAAAATTATTTTTTGATATAGTGTTATTGTTATAATAGTCACTAAAAGACAACTAGATCATAAGACGTCTTTAGGAAAACATCTAGATGGCTTTAGTAAGACTGATATTATAAACTTTCAGGTATGAATGTAATTAGAGAAAGACATCATATCATTCAGATATCTTTTAAAAAAATATCGTGTCGTTTATGCTTTTTTCCATCACAATATCTTAAGCAATTTTACCAACTCAAAAAGAAGCAAACTTTAATCGTTTAAGTTTAAAGCCTTTTTCTTACCTTTTCTTTTTGTCTTTCTTTTCTTAAACTCAGTTTCTTTTTCGCTTTGATTAATGGTAAACATGTTTTTTAAATGATATATTATAAATATTAGATATATACCTTTCCTTTTGTCTTTCTTTTTCAACACAATTCTTTCTTTCAATTAAAAAAAAATCAATACGATCCTTAAACTATTTTTATATTTAATATAATCTTTAAATTTTCTAAAAATTAAAAATTATTTTAAAAATAAATATAACAATATAAAAAATAAGAATAAATTACTAAAAATATTAATATATATACTAAAAATATTAAAAATTAAAAGTATATCATAAATTATAAATTGATATAGTATTATTGTTATAATAGTAACTAGAAGACACCGAGATCATAATACGTCTTTAAGAAGACATCATATCATTGAGACATCTTTTAAAAAATATCTTGTAATTTATGCGTTTTTTTCCATCACAATATCTAAAAAATTTTACCAATTCAAAAAGAAGCAAACTTTAATCGTTTGTGTTTAAATCCTTTTTCTTACCTTTTCTGTTGTCTTTCTTTTCTTAACTCGGTTTCTTTTTCACTTTGATTAATGATAAACCTATTTTTTAAATTATATGTTATAAATATTAGATATATACATTTTCTTTTGTCTTTCTTTTTCAACACAGTTCTCTCTTTCAATTTTTTTTATAAATCAATATGATCCTTAAACTATTTTTTTAATTAAGGAGTGTTTGCAAACATTTTTTTTAAGAGCTTTTAACTTATTTGATGATAAATAGCTTATTGGTAGTCAAACAAAATCCATCAATTTGCAGATTGTAAAATAAGATGTTAAATAACATATTTGACCTTATTTTTTTTCATAATTACATTCTTACCATAAAATCTAATATAATGAAATACCCTTCATCCTAATATATTTAAGAAGAAATTTTATTTTATTATTATATTTTTTTAGTTGTCAATTTTCAAATTTATTTTAGTTAAGAAAATATAACAAAACATGAAAGTGAAAAAAATGTAGTGTTGATATTTTATACAAAGTTAATAGTATGTATCAATCTCACATGGTTAATATTTGTAAATATTAAATTTTAAAAAATATATTCAAAATAAATATTCACAATTTTCTTAAGGAATTTTAAATTCCTTGTCAAAAGCATTTTATCCAAATAATTTCACCTCAATAAAGATTAAAGTATTATAAAACATATATGTACTTAACAACTAAATGTATCATACCCTTATTTGTCATTTTACCAATAACATCTATCAACTAAATTTTACCAAACACTTCTATATAAACAGTTAATCAAATCAGTTTCTCAAATCAGCTAATCAAATTAGTTGATCAAACCAGCTACTGGAATAAGCTACCAGCTATCATCTATCAGTTGTTTGCCAAACACCCCCTTAATATAGACTTCAAATTTAAAAAAAAAATTAATATGACACTTTGACTAACAATTTCTATTATTAATTATTACAATGTTGATGTGGTAATTTATGATACTGCCATGGTGATCCATGATGATTGATGATGTGATAAATGAACTAAATTGATTTTTATAAAATTCGAGAACTAAATTATTTGTTAAGTTCATGAGTTATTTAATTTTTAGAATAAAAATAAAAATTATTTTAAAAATAATTATAACAATATAAAAAAATAAATTACTAAAAATATTAATATATATACTAAAAATACTATTAAAAATCAAAAGTATATCATAAATTATAAAATGATAGAATATAAATTACTAATTTTTTTTAAAAATCATATATTATATATAATATATACATGTATCATATAGATACAAAAGCAAATAAATAGTATTCATATAATTGAATTAGTAAAACCAATATATTGTCAATTTCATCTACATATCAATCATCATTAGCCACTATATACTTTTATATCATACATGTATACATACCAAACATTATGTTATTATCATACAACCATATCAACAACACTTATATTAAGTATTTTGACTGGATTAGTCGAGGCTTACGAATTTTATCTAAATATAGTTAAAAAATATCATAAGTTATTCGTATGAATATACATATCTAATCATATTTCATATAATTATAAGCGATGTTTTATATAATAGCTTATTATATTGATGTGTAAGAGTTTGTGAATAACTCTTAGAATTGTTCGAGATGTGATTAGATGTGTGTGTTTATATGATTTTTTTTTATATTTTTAATAATATTTAGATATAAAATTTATAAGTCTTGACTAATTTAATAAAAATATTTTGTATAAGTGTTGATGATATGACTGTATGTTACATGTATATATTATACATAATATATGTATTTAAAATATTTTAATATTTTATCATATTTTATATATTTTTTAATTTTTAATAGTATTTTTATTATTTAATATAAATATACTTAATTTTTTAGAAATAAATTTTTATTTTTATTACTTTTTATATTTAATTCTTTATATTTTTAAATATGTTAATTTTAAACAATTCATTAGACTAAAAATAATCTGGCTGTCACATTATCAACTATCGTAGGCCTCACGTTAGTACCGTAAACTGCTATGATAGTACTGTGAATTATAATGTTAGTATCAAAACATCCATTAAAAAAATTAATGGTCAAATTGCCACATTAATTTCTTTTAAGTTTGAAAGGTCATATTGAGTGTAAAATTAATTCGAGTATCACAGTAATTTTTTAGAAAAGTTTAAGGGCCTCAAATACTATTAAACAATTTTTAAAGATATTTTTTAAATAATTATAATTTATTATTTTGATATATTTTTAATTATTTTTGCTATAACCATCAATATTTGATTTATTAATAGACTAATTAAGATCGTCTACTCACTTCTCTCCCAACTCAATTTACTCTATTTAAAAACACCAGGATTTAACATCACATTTATTTTTAAATTTTAAATAGAGTTTTCAATATTTTTAATATATATTTTAATATTTTTAGTAATTATTTTTTTTATTTTTAGTATATTTATATTTATTTTTTTACATAATTGAATATTTTATTTTAAAATAAATTTTATTTTTTCTCTAAAAACAAATAAGTTATTGAACTTAAAAAAAAATATCAATTTGATCTCTAAACTCGATCAAAAAAATTAATTTAGTTTATCTATCATATTATCAGTTGTCATAGACTACAACACCGATATCATAGACTTTCATATTAACACTATAGACTACTACATTAATATTAAAACGGTCAACAACAAAAATTGTTGGTTAAATAATCTGATTGATTTTTTTTTTAAATTTAAGGTTCACATCGAGTATGAAATAGTTCTAAGACTAAATTAATTTTTTTTAAAACGTTTGAGGATCTTAAATACCATTAACCATATAATTTTTCTATCTAATAGGACTGCGTATCTATCTTTTTTTTCTCTTCCTGAAAACTTTGCTCTCTTTCTCTCTCTCTTTCTCTGATTGTGGAGAAAAGATATAAATAAAACCAGGGGCTCGAGAATCTCCACTTCTAGAAGATCTACTTTCTTAAAACCCAATCTTAGATAGAGAGATTGCTGAGAAAAAGATAGCAGATAAGCTCCATCTCCTAAGCTTTCTACCTTAAGGTAAAATAAAAAACGCTTTTTTTTTACTCCTCGAAAGGCCAAACCCTAATCCAATTCTACTCCTTTTCTTTTGTTCGGATTTCCTTGTTTGTATTTTTTGTTTTTTATTTTGCATATATAATTTTTTTTTTGGATTTTGGGTTTTCTTTCTTTTTGTGTAATCTGCCATGGAACTTGTGCAGGCTTTTTTTTAATTAAGTTACTGAACTGATTCAAATCCATGGACTTGATTTTTATTCGTATTGATTCCAAGGTGCTTAGTTCATTTTGAGTTTTTTTGTTTTTTTGGGTGGGGTTGCAGTTTTACACTTTTGCTTTCTTTGGTGATGTTTTAGGAAGATCTGAGATGAGTTTTTAAGTTAAAGGTTTTTGTTTCGCTTATTTTTTGTGTGGGATATTTTTGGGGTTTGTGGTTTTGTTTGTAGCTGTATCATGTGTTCTGGTTGTTTCTTATTTTGGTTTGTTTTTGTGTACTGATCTTTATTATTATTGATTAGCGCAGGGATTTAAATTGCGGTTGAGGTCCTTTCTGGTTGCGTTGCATTTAATGTGATTGGGACAATAGTGAATGCAATTGCGCTCATTGTGGGTATTGCAGTTGGGGAAATAATGATTTCAGACAACACCTTTACCGCTATATGACGGGCCGTTATTTAAATCCCTCTATTAGCATTGATGGTGAAAGTAGTATGGAAAGTAAATTTGTGATGATGTTGAGTGCTTTCGTCCTTGAATTAGTTCACCCTAGGGCTTAGACTATTCTTTTTTATTTGTGCGAATAATCTGATCAACCGTACCAGTTTGTGAAACTTGTGAAGCTCACTGCATATTAGGCTCTCTGGTGAGTTTGTTTCTGGATTTGGAGCAGATTTTGTTTTGAACCTTGGCCAAAAAGCTTAATCGTGATTTATGGTAGAAATTGGTTGTGATTCATTTACATGCCGATTTTATTACTTTGATTTCACTGTCTAGTGTTTATGAAGGATGATTATAATTATTGACTTTGACTGATTTGATTCAGGTTTTGACGTTTTAGGTGCTTTCTTTGGAGGAATTTGTTTGGCTTATTTGTTCTTCTTCTTTGGGACTGGAGCTTAGACTGTCTGTCCTTTGATACCGATTTTAAGTTATTGGAAAAAGTCCTGTATCTGTTGGAATAATCAACAACCTGTAATGGGAAATTACATAAGGTCGCAACTATTCTGTGTTAGCATATCGTACTGCAAGCATTAGATTGGTGTCTTTTGGTTGCGGTTGGGGCTGGAACTTTGCTCTGTTAGCAGTCGTGATGGGAATGATTCTTGGAAAGTGAATATTAGATGCTCACTAGCCTGCTGTGCCTGGGCTATTGTTAGATGTACATTTGTTTGATAGCAAGCTTTACAGAAAATGGGCTTTTGACTGTTTGTTTTTCTTGGAAAAATATGTTTGATCAAATAACAAATATCTAGCTGAATATCTTATGATGGGAAACATCTTTCTCACGAGATTCAGTCTTTGGGAACGACCACATAATTGTATAACATCTTGAGCATTGAGGGTTCTTTTTCTATTTTGAAGCTTCACTGCACTGTATCTTGCATATCGTCTGAAATTATAGTTAACATGGAAGCTGAAAGAGGGGATAATAACCACCAACAAGGGGTCCTTCATCGGATGCTTCCAGCTGTTTTACCTGTTCTTCTAATATCAGTCGGATATGTTGACCCTGGAAAGTGGGTTGCAACTGTTGAAGGAGGTGCACAGTTTGGTTTTGATCTGGTAGCCCCCTTGCTTCTTTTTAGTTGTGCGGCCATTTTGTGTCAATACCTGTCAGCTCGAATTGCTGTAGTGACTGGACGAGATCTTGCTCAGGTACCACAAAACCTTCTGTATTCCTGTTAATGAGAGTTTCTTTGACAGCCTTATTGTCTTTGCCCATCTACTTACAAAAGTCTATAGAAAGAAACAAATTGATTAGTTAAATTTGATAGGGGTCTGTTTGGTTTTTTTGCTTTTGATAGGGGTGCTGTCCTGGTTGTATCTTATGTAATTAAGTTGATGAATGATACTTTAAGGCACTCTTTTCCTCCTTCCAATGATTAAGGAGCTTTCTTTCAAGCTCCATTAATTGAGAAGGAGGTTTTTAATGAGGCCTTCAATTCTTATAAAAAAAAATTAGTTAAATTTGCAAATATAAGTTGCCTACTTATTTTTCCAAATACATGCTTTTTAATCTTTAATTAAGTGCTTACATATAACCAGGGATGGTATGCACATAGGTGGTTATGTGTATTTGTGGATGTCTCTTTTCATCTTTTCATAATACATATTTCTTTATTTTTGGCAATGATAGATTTGCTGTGACGAGTACGACAGGTCCACTTGTATATTCTTAGGAGTTCAAGCAGAGCTTTCTGTGGTTGTGTTGGACCTTACCATGGTAGCTTCCTTTTCCAAATTATGATGGAACTTGGGCAAATCTAATTTTGTATTCACATGTTATATGGTGATATTTGTTTCATTCTAACATCAAATGTCCATATTTTCCCAGGTATTGGGTGTTGCACATGGGATTAATCTTCTCTTTGGAATGGATCTTTCAACTGGTGTTTTTCTAGCTGCTCTTGATGCTGTTTTATTCCCAATTTTTGCCACCTTCTTGGTATGCTAAACTGCTTTGTTTTATTGCACAATCTCTCTTGCAACATCATAACAACCTAATTTTTTTTCAATATTTAGGACCACTGCAGGGCAAGTTTCCTATGCATCTATGCAGCAGGTTTCATATTGCTTTCTTATGTTTTTGGAGTGCTCGTCAATCAACCTGAAATTTCTATTTCCTTGACTGGGATGCCAACAAAGTTGAGTGGGGAGAGTGCATTTGCCCTGATGAGTATTCTTGGAGCTAGCATCATGCCTCACAACTTTTATCTACATTCTTCTATTGTTCTGGTATATCTGATTGGACTGAATGTATTTGATTCTTGTGTATGGGTCTTATATTTCAATTCCAATGGATTGAACAGTCCCTTGTTCTCTAGAAATTTACTTGAATTGAGATTGAGAATTTTTCTATGCTTGAATTTTAGAATCCTATTAAGAATATTTGCATCTGGATGTTGTCCTTGCACATTCTTCATAATCCAAGTTAAATTCATATATAATTTTCTTGTACGAGTGGGATTTTTTTAGTTATATCATCATTCTGAAATATAGGGTAGGCAGATATTTATTGCCCCGTGCTTAAATTTTGTAGGGTATACCATTCCCAAATTAAGGAAAGACATATGGTGTGTCTTATCTGTTATATGCATGCAATATCATTTGGTTCTGTTTGTGGCTCTGCCTTCTTTTGGAGTTTAATTTTGATGCTATTCATTCTCAACTTTCTCAGAATTTGTTATGTCTACAGGAGCATATGGGACTACCAAATATTTCTAAGAGTGCCTTATGTCACAACCATCTTTTTTCCATCCTATGCGTCTTTGGTGGAATTTGTCTAGTAAATTTTGTGCTGATGAATTCAGCTGCAAATGTATTCTACAGTGCAGACCTTGTCTTGGTTACTTTTCATGATGCAATGTCACTAATGGAACAGGTTTTTTTCTTTCATTTTTTCTGATAAGCTATTGTTTATGATGACTTTTAAGAATTATGTTTAAATATTTCTCAACAATTCAATTCATGTGTGGATACTAATAAATTCCTTTTGAAATTATTAAAACAGGTATTTAGAAATGGTATACTGCCCCTAGTCTTTTTGTTGGTTATGTTCTTATCTAATCAGCTCACTGCATCAACCTGGAATCTTGGTGGGCAAGTTGTCTTGCACGATTTCCTTGGGCTTGACATACCTGGCTGGCTTCATCGTGCAATAATCAGAATTGTAGCAATGGTTCCAGCTCTTTATTGTGTGTGGACTTCTGGACCTGAGGGCGTATACCAGATGTTTATCTTTGCGCAGGTTATGGTAGCCCTTTTATTGCCGTCTTCAGTAATCCCCTTGTTTCATGTTGCCTCATCAAGACCAATTATGGGTGTCTATAAGGTTTCTCCAATTGTGGAGTTCCTATCACTGGTAACATTCATGGGAATGCTGGGTTTGAAGATGATTTTTATCGTAGAAATGATATTCGGGAGTAGTGATTGGGCTAGTAATTTGAGATTGAATGCTGGGATTAGCATGTCTGTTTCTTTTGTTGTTCTTCTGGCTACTGCTTGTGCGTCATTTTTTTTGATGCTTTGGTTAGCATCTACTTCTTTAAAATCTGCCAGTTCCAAAAATAAAGCTCATGCATTGAAATGGGATTTGAACAAAACTGTTTCTGAGATGTCTATAGGGAGAGAGGAAAATGAGTTAAGTAAAACTAGATATCGTGGAGAGGAACTTGCTCATATGCTGGAAAGATCAGCAGCACCAGAAAAGTCCATTGAAACTTGTTCAGATTTATCTTTTCCACATTGTATTATGGATTTGCCTGAAACAATTATGGAGTCTGAACAGGAGATACATTTGACCACTGTTAACGAGAACTCTTCTAATGGTGTGTTTACTACTAACCCCTCGAGCTGTAACTATGAGGAACCACCATCCTTGACTGAGTCTGCTTCCATTCTAGTCGATGAGGTGGAAGATGAGATACCAGGTATGAAAACTTCGATGATTGAATCAGTGAAGCCTATTGAGAAAACAGTGAGTATAGAGGGAGATCTGCAGATTGAAAAAGATGATGGAGATTCTTGGGAGCCTGAAGAGCCATCCAAACCTCCTTCTGGAAGTATTACCTCTTTGACACCAGATGGCCCTCCTTCATTCAGAAGCCTCAGTGGGAAAAGTGATGATGGTGGAAATGGAAGGGGAAGTCTATCCAGATTAGCTGGACTAGGTTGTGCTGCAAGGCGTCAATTAGCTGCCGTTCTTGATGAATTTTGGGGCCAATTTTACGATTATTATGGGCGACCTACCCAAGAAGCCAAGGTGAAGAAATTAGATGTGTTATTAGGTGTTGACTCAAAACCATTAAAAGTGGATACTGCTGGGGATCTCCCTTCGGTAGGATGCAGAGGATCTGATACACTTAATAGTTCAAGTCTGTACGACACTCCAAAGCAGCTGAAAATGCAAAACGGTGTTGATTTATCATATGGGTATTTGAGAGGATCATCGTTATGGTCAAACCACACACAAATGTTAGATGCTTATGTTCAAAATTGTAGCCATAATGTTGATTATGGTGAAAGGAGGTACTCTAGTTTGTGTAATGTTGATTCTGGTGAAAGGAGGTACTCTAGTTTGCATAATGTTGATTTTGGTGAAAGGAGGTACTCTAGTTTGCGAAATGTTGATTTTGATGAAAGGAGGTATTATAGTTTGCGTAATGTTGATTCTGGTGAGAAGAGTTGCTCTAGTTTGCATAATGTTGATTCTGGTGAAAGGAGATACATTAGTTTGCGTGCTGCACCATCTGCTGATGCATGGGATTATCAACCAGCTACCGTGCATGGATATCAGATTGCATCTTATCTTAATCGAATTGGTAAGGACAGAAGCTCCATTTGTTTGAATGATCAGATCGAATTACCAGCATCAGAACCTCCTGCCATAGTCCCTACAGATTATAGGGGCTCTGTAGCTTTTGCATCAAGGCAAAAATCACTGAATGGGGTAGCTCCTGCACAGCCCCCTGGATTTGAGAATGTCGTGGTTTCTAGAAGTGGTGCATTACAATCCGAAAGGTCTTATAATGACATGAGCTTCTCCGGACTAAATGATAATTCTGGTATATCAGTCAATACAAAGAAGTATCACAGCTTACCAGACATATCTGGGTTTTCTGTTCCACATCGGGTGTCTGTGAAGAGTGGTCAGTGGGACAGTTCCATTGGATATGGGTCACCTATTGGTCAGACAAACTATGGAACACCCATGTATTCAACTGCTGGATCTAGGGCAGGAGTTCCATTTTCCTTTGATGAGCCTTCTCATTTAAAGGGTTACAAAGGCTCTTTGCCTTTACCGTTGAGCGCAGGTACAGGCACTGGATCCCTTTGGTCTAGACAGCCTTTTGAGCAGTTTGGTGTAGCTGAAAAAAGCAGCACTGCTGGGAATGAAGCACTTGGAAGTGGGTTGAACTCTGTAACTCGGGATACTGCTTTTGGTGTGGATTTAGAGTCCAAGCTTCTTCAATCTTTCCGCCACTGTATAGTAAGGCTCTTGAAATTAGATGGGTCTGATTGGTTATTTAGACAAAATGATGGAGCTGATGAGGACTTAATTGATAGTGTAGCAGCAAGGGAGAGGTTTCTTTATGATGCAGAAGCTAGAGAGACGAACCAGGTTGTTAACACACATGATTCTCAATACTTATCAATTTCATCAGTACCTCATTGTGGGGAGGGCTGTATATGGAAAGCGGATTTGATAATAAGCTTTGGAGTGTGGTGCATTCACCGTATCCTTGATCTTTCACTGATGGAAAGCCGACCAGAGCTGTGGGGAAAATATACCTATGTGCTTAATCGGCTCCAGGTATGATTTTTGTATTTGTTTCTTAGCTAGTTAATGCATTTATCCATTGTGTAAGTTGTTGGTTGTGATCATTGTTCCTCTAGCAGTTTGTTAAATGGTGTGGGTGTTCTCTGGGTATTGTGTTAATTAGTTTGCCATGTTCGTTTCACCCGTTGCACTTAGTTGACGAGATTACTCTGACTTCGCAAAGAGTTATGTAGGTTTGGTTAAGTTTTTCTGACGTCTTTCACCTTTATTATCTTCAATTTTTGGGAATTCCTTTGATTGAATGGCATCATAAAAATTTCTTCCTGCACTGTACTTTATTTCCTTTTGGTTTGTATGTTTATCATGCATTAGTTGCAAAAATATTTGCTAGTGCAATTTCAGAGGGTGGCCTATTTGTTTGTTTGAGCTGAAGAGTTTGTAGTATATTTTTCGCGGGTTCTCCTTTATTCTGATGAGAATAACTGCGATTATTCCTTTTCAACAGGGTGTGATAGATCTTGCATTTTCAAAGCCTCGAACCCCAATGACGCCTTGCTTCTGCGTACAAATCCCCCAGGAATATCAGCAGAGGTTAAATCCGGCTGTTTCAAATGGAATGTTGCCTCCGGCTGCAAAACCAGGAAAGGCCAAGTGTACAAATGCTGTGACGCTGTTGGATATAATTAAGGATGTCGAGATAGCTATATCATGCCGGAAGGGTCGAACGGGAACTGCTGCCGGTGATGTAGCTTTCCCAAAGGGAAAAAAGAACTTGGCATCTGTGCTTAAACGCTACAAGCGTCGATTGTCCAACAAACCGTCCGGCAATGTTCCAACATCAGCTCCGATGCTGGCTTCTTACAGTTGATCAAGTTTCTCTCCTCACAGGAATGTGAAAGCCAACTCCAACTTGTCTTGTGTATTAAAAGCCATTGCTGCACTATATGTGATTATATACGCAGGGTAAAAAAGTTTATGGGATATGTTGTAATTTCAGCAGAAAGAATTAAAAAAAAAGAAAGCTGGGAATTGATGTCATTTTTAGTTACTAAAGTTGGACTGTCATCCCCCTTGGCTTAATCTGCAGATTTACGTGGCTTATGTTTTGGAGTTTTAAGCCGTTGGATTATATAGCTCTTAACTTGATCTGCTCATCAGTCAAGTTTGTTGGGGTACTCGGAAGACAAAATTGAATGAATAAAGGACATTAGTGGATGATGAACCTGAGAAGGCCAAACTACATGATAGTTGGCTTATTTGTGGTGAATTACATGCACATATTTAATTCAAACATAAAATTAAATATCCAAAAGTGAAATAATTTGATCAACTTATTTAAGTAATTACCCACGTAATATGATATTACAATCATAATTTTTCTCTCATAAATAAATCTTAAAATAAAAAAGGGCAAAGTGCACAAATGATCCCTTGAGTGTAGGGTGATGTTTTGTTGAGTCCCCGACTATTAAAAATTACAAAATGATTCTTTGATTATAGGGTGTTGCTTGAGTCCTCTGACTATTAAAAGGTACAAAATGGTCATCCAATTATTCATATTTTTCAAACTCGTCCGTTTGTATTAACAGTTTGACTGACATCTAAGTTAAACGTCAATATGTTGATTCAAAGATGATAAAATTTGATCTCAAAATCTCAAACGACTATCATATCTCACTCAATATGTTAACGCCTAGCTTAAACGACTGTAAATTTTTAATGAAAAATGTCGAGTTTGAAACATATGACCAGTCGAGTGATTATTTTATAACCTTTTAATAGCAATACCGTATAGTCGGCGGACTCAAGAAAACATCACCCTATAGTCGAGGGATCATTTGTGTACTTTATCCTAAATATTTTTCTCTATAAGAATAAAACAAATGTTTTAAAAGGTAGTAATAATTGTACCCAGAAAGAAAAGAAAAACAGTACTAATGTTAACATAAACACAAGGATTGGGCAATGAACAAACTAGTAAAGGAGGCTATTATGTAAATTATCGTTCTCGGCAGATGAAAATAGAATGCAATTGTGTTTTGAGTGCGAATTGGTTAATTATTGTACATTAAATTCTAGCTAATTTAAAGGATGATTAAACCGTTGCTTGTGTTTCTGGGCATTAAATGTTTGTATATTAAAATATATATTTAGTATGTTGCATGTATATGTTTGTATATTATATTTAATATTAGATTTTATATCTTATGTGTGGTATGATGTTGGTTGTCCGATTATTATAAAGCTATTATATATATATATATATATATATATATATATATATATATATATATATATATATATATATATATATATATATATATATACATACATATAAGTTATTTCATATCATGGTCGTTTCAGTTTACTTGCTCTGTAATGACTGCTACTTAGGTATCTAATGTTATTTGTGAATGTTAATCGTATGTGAAATTGCTTATATCATGTTTTGATATTTATTTATTTATAATCTACGTGTATATATATAATTCTTAAAAGTTGGTGCAATATTTACATATGTCATAGTGCATGTCCTCTAATAAATATGATTTTAGTCGTGTTAGGTATTAGTACTTCTACATTTATAATTATGTTTAACCCATTTGGCTACGTTGTGACTTTATGTTTTATAATATTTTTTATATAATAATGCAAGCCTATATATAGTTATCAACATTTGACTTTTGTTACATTGTTGTTTGTTTATGAAACTGAATTATTTAGCATTATGTGAGTGTGTAGTGTGCATATAGGTTTAGGATTGAATTTGAATTAATTTGCATAATTCGTATGATATCCACATGAGCATAACTCGACATCATTACATAATCGGATTAAGGGTAATACCCTCTTAATTTAAAATGGTCAAAATTGCTTTTCTTAACTTATAAGAAAGTTGTTTTTGACGATTTTAAATTACAAGTGTATCCCGTCATTGTCACTAAAAAATTTTGATTCTTTACTTTAAAATTTGGGAGTGAAAGAAAAGGAAATATTCGGTTATTTAAAATTTTGAGAAAATGTCGTTAGAACTTACCTAAAGATCTGGTCCTAATATTTTTAAATAATCGAATATTCTTTATTTTTCTAATAGTTTGGTAATTTTAATTTATTCTATTTCGTTGTTTTTGAATGATATAAAATTTGCATTTTTTTTGTTTTAAGGGATCATAAATCAAATTAAATTCGAACTTGTGAAATTCGTTGCAAAGACATTAGTTAATCGATTAGGTACCGATTTATGGCGTTGTGGGGGTGTTAATCCTTCCCCACCCGTAATCGACTCCCGAATTCATTTTCTGATAACGTATACTCCAATTTGTTGTTTTGATTAATTAATTAATTTGAGCAGATGTACTTTAGTTCATTTTTAAACAGAATATATAGTACAGAAATTCACAAAAACAATTGTACGATGTGGCAGTTAAAAAATAAATGTACTATGGATTGAGAAAGGACGTGCAGGGGTGTGCAAAATATCCAATTCGAATGATCTGATTTGTTTATCCGATAATCAGATTTAAATATTTAGGTTATTTGATCTGAATTTTTTTGAATAGTTCGGATCGAATATCTGAATTTTTTTTATAATCGAATTGTAAAAAAATCTTGATTTGGAATTATTGGATATCCAAAAATAAATGGGCCCTTAGCCCTAATCCCAGTTGTTTTTGATAGGGAAAAAACATTCATTAACCCATTTCGCCAATCAGTTTTTGTTTGGGTACACCTGGTGCTGGTATTGAAAATTTTAACAGTTGCTTCCATAAATCTGGTGAAAGTTTTAAAAAAGTTAATGTGTTTTATCCAGTCACTATTCGAACACCAATAAACCCAAAGTAAAATGAAAAGCAAACACAAGCTAATAGGATATGCAGTCTTTTAATAGAATCATGAAAATAGCAGTACCAACGAAAACTTTTTTTTTTCATTCAAATAAAATTCTAATGGTGGTTCATTGCTGAAATTTCTCCAAGTTACATGATTTGAGCCTTGTAAACTAATAGGATAATGTTGAGTTATAGTTAAGTTTGTGAGTTTTTGAGTTGCAAGTCATGTTGTAGAGACTTCTTCCCTGAGGAGCAGGTTGATATGAGTTTAGGTGCTTCGAAGTTTATAAGTTTTTGACCTAAGGATAGGTTGTTGTTCGGACCAAGTAAATTTCGAGGACAATTTTTTTTTTAAGGAGGGGAGAGTTAACACCTCAAATTCTGGACTAGTAGTTTCGGGTTTACCCGAGTGATTAAGTTCAACTTAGCCTCACTTGATTGATGGATGGTGAAGACAATGGTTGTACCCTTGATTGATTCGATCTAGGAAGACAACAAGGATCCTGCACAAGTAAGAAAACTAAAATAGAACGGTTAAATTGAAGTAATGAAATGGAAAGATAAGTATGACAACAGAATATATAAATAAGTTGGTGATATGTTTAAAGGATATGGGGACGTATGGTAATGGAAGTAGAATGAAGGTGATAGTGATGAATATGAAAGGTAGTATCTCAAAAAAGACTCAAAGAAAAAAATCAAAGTTAAAGAACAAGGACTTTGACCCATTATCTACGAAAGAGATAGAAACTAAAAGTATCAGGGTGAAATAGATGGAGGTGACGCCACAAGATGAGCTTGATAAGTTGATAAAATTCACTTAAGAACTAAAGAGAGAAGCTCTCACAAATATTTTATTAAACAATCAATTGATTGTTTTTTTACAAATGAAATACTAAGGTATTTATAAGCCTAAGGATGCCTAGGGTGAAGCATTTAAAATGTGTACATATGAACTTTAATGAATGAACATTCATGGATGAATGTTTATCCCCTAAGTGGATACAATGCACTCCTAATGTGAAAGCATTGGATGAATGTATGTTCTTGAATTAATCCCCTTCGTTGAATTCATCCTTCCTAGTGTGAACAAGTTTTTCGTTTTTCTTCATGAACTTGCTTGGATGAATGTATATGGATTAAATGAATTCATCATTCTTGAGTGTGAACAAGACTCTTGGCTGCCTTGGATGAATGTGCACTCCATGTGAACTTGATTAGTTGGCTAGCATTCATGCACTTGGCTTCTATGTGTGAACATGACTCATCGGCTACTTTCATGCACTTGGTTGAATGATTTAATCATCTTTTAGTAAATGTGATGAATCATTTGAATATCCATTTCTTATCCATGCATGTTTTCATCAATGACATCCATTCATGAATTCAAAGAAGGTGATGAATGGGTGTAAATCTCGTATGAATTTCCAGCCTGCAATATCTTTAGTAATCTGGACATATCTCAAGCTCCCGATGTTAGATTGATGTGATTCAAACTGCGTTGGAAAACTAAGAAATAGGGGATTAAAATTCAAGAGACTTCATAACCAAAAGATGCTATGAACCAGCTCAAAAATGGCTCGTAATCTGACTGATGTGAATTATTTTATGAATTTAATGTGTTCATATTGTGCACCTTGAACGTGTTAAGCTCCTTTTAGTCTTCCAGCTACTCTCCAGATAAGTTCAGCTCCCATTGAGCTCATTCAGCTAATCTTTGATCTCCTTTAAGCTCCCTTAAGCTAAGTGAGCTAGCATGGCACCTTTATGACCTATCATGAGCTGCCAAAGCTTGTAATTTCGATCCATGAGCTTCCATAAGTTTCCTTAGCTGCCAATGTACCTATGAAAAACATACAAACAAGTAATTACATAGGTATTGAGCTAGGAGAATAATGAATGCATGTTGTCGCCCATGTTATGAATGCAAATAAGCTAACTATGAATGCATATGCATTGAATGAGCTAAAGAATAAGGTATAAACATGGAATAAGCATATAATGAGCTAAGTATAGAATGTGTATGCATGAAGTGATCTAATAATGAATGCATAAGATAATATAATCATGAAATACACTTAAGTAAAGATGTAATATGAATGAGTATCGTAAAGATTGCAAGTATTCAAGCATGATCTAAATGCTAAAGCATATATAATGCATATAGAAGTAAATAAATAATGAAATAAGGTAAAATTCCCTTAGAATCATCATTATAAAAC